AAAAAAAAAAAACAAAAAAAAAACAGTTTACTGAAAGAAGGAAAAAGAACTTTATTTATTCCGAAAATACAATTAAACCAAGGCACATTGAACAGGTAGTATGAGTATAGCAGCTGATTACATTTTTTTCAAATTATTAGTTCTCGAAAATTTTTAATTTCTTCTCACAAAAATTCTAAATTGGTAAAATCTATTTGCATGTGAAACCTTTTTCCATACAAAACCAGCGATTGAATATCAGCTTTTGGAACCCTCGCCCAATTCAGCAGCACAACCGCTGATTACTGGTCCTGGCGCAGGATGGATCAATGCTTCGAAAAGCGAACCAATTTACTAAGAAAGAAAGTTGCAAAAATTTTCATTTTTTCAATTTAAATTTTTTAACTTTTTTGTATTTTACATGGTACGCTTTGATATAGAAAAAAAAAATCAGAACAGTTTTTGACAGTTTCGATACCAGAAGCAACAACAAAGTACAGGCAAATGTTGTTTTTGGTCAAATGCTCTAAACCTGTGTGATAGGCCTTGAATTAAACAAAACATGTGATATAATTCATATGAAGAAAGTAATATTCACAAAATATTTTTACTTATGACAAGTCTAACAAAATATAGGGAAAGCATCGTCTTTAATAACTGCTCGTCATATAGGACATAGCTCTTTTGTATTAATTTTATCTGCGTGCTTTTTAATATGTTAAAAACATTGCTGGAAAACCTTAAAATGTATGCATGGAACGATGTCGCAATAAACAGATGAAGCAATAAAACGGCTTTCTCACTTTATTTTCTGATGCATGCAATAACACCATACACAATAATTCCCATGAAGTGAACTAGTGTTATTTTATTATTATTCTTTTTTCTAAACGGTTATAATGCCACCAGTGCATAGTTGCGAAAGGAGGGGAGGGGCGGGGGACGCGAGCGCGATGTCGAACGCGGTGCTGCGCGGGGTTGCGCGGGGCGGCGCTCGAACGCGGACCGCCGCGATGCTGGGCACTTTCAAAATTCTATACTTACAAACCCGTCCATTTAACTTGTACTTGTTCATGTTCTACTTTTTGTCAAATGTAACTGGGTGGGTGACTACCTACATATGTGCACTATTTTGCTTTATTACTCAATTGTTAAGTTTAAAAGTTGGTCTTATTGCTCAACGAGAAATGAAATAAAGCAAATTTGTGTTATTTCACACTCAATTGGGAGTATAGGAGTTTGCGATACGATATTGCTTATTTGCCTTCCATGAAAGCTTTTCGCAAAGTTTAGCAATTTAAATGCTGCTGCAATCAGTCGCGACGCTGAAGTTCATAACGAAGGACGTGTGGGAATTATTTTTTGATAATTTTAACTTCGTGTTAATGTCTGCCAAATTAGGTTTAAGTGTTCTCTACATGTATACATATGTATATTATAATATACATATATATGTTAAATTTGTTTGATAAGTTACCTAACTCCAGAATTTCCTTTTGCATTGCTTTCAGAAGATGACAACAAAGTTGGCACTTTGGATACATTGCTCAGTAGTGCGTATTGTCGTTCGCAACGTTTTCTCTCCAAGCAATTGGCTCAGCTTCGCCCCGAACTGTCCATGTCAATGTTCTCCGGTAAGTTAACTGCAGAATTTACATTTCAAACGCATTCATTACCATTGCTTATTCATTCTCTTAATGCAACAATTTCTGCAAATTTTAAACTTTCCTTTTTCAAACCAACATCGATTTCAATTGCTTCACTATTTTGCAACTTTTTCGCTCTTCTCGGCACAGAAATTACACATCGCTTCCAGACGGCGAGGGAGGAGGTGCGTGCGCTGTTAATACAATGTCTATTGCCATGGCTGCACAACATGGAACTAGTTGCCACAAGTGTTCCTCCAGCAACACCGTTATCCTACATTATGGTGAGTGAAAAGTATTGTTGGCCCTTGCCTGAAGTGCAGTTGTACGTAAATGTTTATTAACCACTTCATTTGAAACTAATTCCCAATAGAGGGTTGTAGCCCAAAATGTAGCAAATCTGACTGAGACGTAGCCAAATTTGTTTAAAGCTTGCAATTATAGTCAGACACTGCCGTTTGGTTTACATTGTTTATTTCGTCAAAAATTCAGTGCCTTTTTTATTATACAGCGCTTGTCAAAATAATTAAAATTTTAAAATATATTGACAAGTTTTGGCTATTTAAATTTTAGTGTTTAATTTCAATTAAAATATACGTAACTCTATAACAAAAACCATTTAATTCAAGGTAGAGCTGCAAAACTATCGATTGTACTATCGATAGTTTTATTTTTGGAAAAACATCGATTGCTTTTGGGCGATAGTCGATAGTTTCGATAGTGCCGGTGCATTGAAATTTTGTGATCTTTACTTAAATAAGTGACGCTGTAAATTGAACTATGGAAAATATTTACGGAAAAAATTGCACGCTTAAGATGGAGTATTTACCTATGTGCAATTATTATATTTACATATATACATATGTACATATGTATATATTATACACAATTTGTTCGGAGTTGAAGTTTCCCTACATATGCAACACGATAGTATACGATACTATCGATAGTATTTTTCAAACTATCGAAACTATCGAATGGCGTCACTATCGATAGTTTTGCAGCTCTAATTCAAGAATTGAAATATTAAAAAAATCAAAAAAATTTCAATAAAATTGTGGTATGCAGTTTTGTAGCCCACTAAATTTTATTACCATACAGTGAAAGTCTGAAGTTGCTCAAAAACTCTGTTGATTTTTTAATAGCTTTTTTCCTGATTGTGTCACGCATTTTTCTCATACAAAGTATGTATCAAGGACGTGAACCGGTTTTGAACCGAACCGGTTTTGAACTGGAAAACCGTTTTTTTCTATTAACTAACTGAACCATTAACCGAACCGAAATTTTCCACAAATGTTTGATCCGAACGCAAAACCGAACCACTTTTCATATAGGTTTAAAGGTTCGTTTCAACCAAATTTTCAATAGATAAATTTACCCACTTTTTTCTTTGTGTTAAATATGATAATACATACCATGTTTGTTTACCATGTGGCAATATCAAGTGTAATGGTAACTCATCTCATTTGACAGATACTTTACACTTATCCTTGCGCGTTGTTGCACTTGACCTTTGACACTTAAACTTGCGCGTTATTTTTTTTATTTCCGAACCGTTGAACCCAACCGAAACCCCGGGTCAAAGACCAAAAAACCGCATTGACAAACCAATCCAAAAGTGCAAAAACGGTTCGAACCGCTGAACCGAACCGATCAAATTTTTCATCCGTTTCACGTCTCTGGTATATATGCTTGATTTTTTTTTTATTAATAATTTTGACACTTGCTTAATATAGGGATAAGCAATTTGATAGAGTTGAGCCGTTGAAATATTTAGGGACACGAATTTCGATACGATACGACGCCATATAAATAGATACTTTTGGCATTCTATGCCGATATTTTTTTACTCGATAGTTTTAACACGATATTTTTAGGAATCGAGTACCAGAACCCTAGTATCGTATCGAATGTCATAAACCCAAATTAAAAAGATAATGTGAATAACAATTCTGCCCGATATAAATTGGGCTGTAAAGAACAGAATTGTACTATCGTTTGGATTGCATGTAGCGGGATTTGAACCTGCGGTCTCGGTGTTTTAAGTCAACATCTCACGTGTAAAAATAGTAATAGATTGACGTTTACACAATATCTTAGTGTTTGGCCGAGCTTCTCCTCCGATATGTCGCGTGCACCTTGATGTTGTGCCACAAAAGGGGGTCCCTACTGTTTTACGTCGACTCTAAACGGCGATTGTATTTTTGAAGTGAAACTTCTTAGGCGGCGGTATCGCAAAAATGGAGAGTGAAATTTTAAAAACTGCAAATGTTACATGAGTAAGAAGAAAGATATTGTATAGAGAAGGGGAAAAAAGAAACATCTTCAACGCGCATGCATACGAGTACCTACATACATATATATTTATGTACGTACCCTGCAGCAAATCACACTGGTTCCGAACTTGCGCTGAGCTAGCCTGACAAGGGACGGTACTGGTTCTTCATTTATCCCAACTCAATGCTTACAACTGTCTGTTTTAACATGGCGATGTCCTACGAAGTGACAATTGTCGCCCTCTGCAGAGCTTTTGAACTTGTTCTGAGCCGACTCTGGCTTAGATGGTTCTGAGACAGTTCATATACCAACAGTTCCCAAATAGTTCAAAAAGGGTCCTCAGGGCTAGAACAAATGTGGTTAGTATTGAGCTGGTTATAAGAAGTATAGTATAGAGCCTTTTTTTAAATACTGTGATTAAATAAGTACGCATACAATTTTGTAAATAAAAAATACTTCAAACTAAAAAAATACTTCATTTTATGATTAATGAGCTATTTGTTTTGCAGTAATTTACGTTTTGAGGCAACCTGCGCTTTAAAATTAGGAACATAGAGTGTCAGTTATTCCTTCATTTTCTAAAACCGTTATTCTTAAAAATAATTAATTTTTGTTACGTATAAAGGGTAAGGTGTGTGATACTTATAATTAAAAATCTAAACTAAGTCGTGTGAAAAAATGAGAAAAACGGTGATATATTGAGTGCTTATTTGTGATAACTCCGCGTTAAATTTTATTAAATGTATTGAAATGTAATACATAAACTCTCCGGCATCTAATAAGAATATGTAGAAATTTGAATATTCACAATGGTTTTCATGCAAAATATTTTTCGTAAATTTTTTATTTAAGGATGGCTCATAAGTATTATAACATAAACATATAAATTCACGTTTCTAACTGTGTTGGAAATTTAGTAGAAATCTAGAAACTGTTAAATAACTTCAATATTTTGAATCAGAGTTATAAGTATGCAGTTCTATAGCCCATTAAATTTTAGTATAATTTATCGCGCTGATTTTTCATAACTCTTTTTGCGCACGCTCTTGAAGGTATTGTCCTATTTAAATATTTTCGTTTAAGATGCAAGGTTACACTTAACTATAGAGTGAAAATCTCTCAAGTGGGCCACCCGAAATTTGATGGTCAAGATTTTTTCGAACAAATCACTTTATTCGGTTTACAACCATTAAAAAATATATAATTTTAACAATTTTGCAAAATTCGAATTTTTACAAGAGTTATTGTTATTAACTTTTTTATGAATTCAGTAATTATTTATTATCCACTGATTCATATTTAGCATGTATCCTGCTGATAATAGTTAATTAGACACGCTTTAGCCTTATTGTTTCAACTTTTCAAATAATCATTATTTTGTATACAATTTTTAATTTTTTTTTTATTTTTATAAACAAATGGAAAAATTTATTACTTCTCGATCAGATTTTTTAATCGTTTGCATTGAATATCAATCCTTATTCTATAATACATTATTTAAAATAAAAAATAAAAACACGGAAACTTACACGGAGTCGCTAGTTATTAATTTTTTTCGCTCCTCCCACGTGTGCTTTTGCCTTCATGCCGCGTGCCGCGCGGACTCGCAGCGAGCGTGGTGCAACCAGAGAACGAAAAAAAAAATAAAATTTATTTATAAACATAAGCATAGATTATTAGTACAATATTTTTTAAAGTTGTATATTTACATAAATATGTACGTACTAGGAATTTTAATCCCGGGATGCCGGGATCCCGGGATTCCGGACTTTTTAAGGTCTCGAAAATACCAGGAGTCTTGGCAAGAAATCCCGGGATTTTCGGGATTTGTAATTTGCGTTAATGGCAATTATAGAAACTCCTTTTCTTGACCAGTATTGGCTATATTTCTTTGTATACCTTTCATGAGCATGAAATGGTATTATAACTTTGGTCCGATGTTTGTAAGTACCAGAATAAGAAGAGATAGACCCATTAAAATGTATACTTAAATGATCAGAACGCCGAGCTGAGTTGATTTAGACATGTCCGTCTGTTTGTATGCAATCTAGTCGCTCAGTTTTCGAGATATCCGGATGAAATTTGGTAGGTGGGTGTAGTTTTATAATGTGTTAATGATTTGTCGGAACCGGAAGAATCGGACTACTATAACATATAGCTCCCATACAACTGATTGTTCCGATATGAGATTTTTCTTTATAACTTCTCCATTTATGCTGCTAGGAACATGACATTTTTCACTACTTCCTCCCATTATCAACAGAAAACTTGGAGTGAAAATTACAAAGATCGGGTCACTATAACCTATAGCTCCCATACAACTGATTGTTCAGATATAAGATATTTCGTTATAACTCCTCCATTTAAGTGGCTAGGAACATTAAATTTTGCAATACTTCCACCCATTATCAACATAATAATTTCAGTGAAGATAACAAAGATCGGGTAACTTTTACATATAGCTCCCGTACAACTGATTGTTCGGATATGCGATTTTTTGTGATAACTCCTCCATCTATTCAGCTGGGAACATGAAGTTTCGTAATATTTCCACCCATTATCAAAAATAAATAAAAATATGTACAGTGAAAATGGCGAAGATCGGGTCGCTATAACCTATAGACTCCATACAACTGATTGTTCAGATACTTAGAAAGCTAAAATCGATAAACTTCGAAAGCAATTTTATACATAATAATACAAAATCTACTGAGAAAATCGTCAAAATCTATGCTGCATAAGCTTTATCTCTTATACCACTGATTGTTCAGATACCATGCGATATATCTCCTTTATGTAGGAAGCTAAACCCATTAAATTGTGTTACCGGTTTACATACCGATCACACAGCAGCGAAAATCACTTAGATTGGTGGTATATAAGGTATATCTTCCACACCTCTGATTGTTTAGATGTCATTTTTTTATATATGTATCTCCTCTATCTATGTATGCTGGGAATATATACATTTTTTTAAATGCAGTAATCTGTTAAAGTAAAATTTTCAGTAATTCATGAAAGGTATGAAGCCTTCGGCATAGCCGAGGACAGCGCTGTTTCGTTTTTAGTTTTTCACTCTGACGTCAGTAATTCATAAATGATTTAAAAAATTCAGAGAAATGTGCTTAGAGAAGAAGTATGGTTATAAAATTAATGAGGAAAGCCTTAGAATTTAAACAGATTCAAGTTTCTGGTGCAGAAGAGCTGGTAAATATTGAAAATGTAATTTTAAAATTTTATCCTTGAAATTTCGCAATATTTGGTTTTGAAAAAATTATATGTTAAGGGCTTATATAAACTTGATAACATCCTCGAATTTCGTTCTTCTAACTTTGTCAGCTTAAAAATTACCTATTCGTCTTTGTGAATCCTAAAATTTAAATTTTTAAATTCTAAAGAAATTTCCTATTGCATTTGTTACCCATATTTTTATTCTACATTGCATTGAATTTTTTTAACAATTTTTGTAATTAATAATATTTTTGAAATTACAAAGTCCTTCAAAATAAATCCTGCGGTCAGAGAGAAAAAATAAAAACGCCACTTTAAATAAAAAAATGCGTGTGTAACACCGTACATATGATAGAAGTGAAACTTCTTAAAAAAGGTGTGAGTCCCAGGTACCTACTCACGAAATTGGATGTGTAAACATATGTTTACGGTTCGGCAAACCATTAGGCGATTGAGTTACATACATAGGTTTGGTTAGAAATCAAACAATTATTTCATGTTATTAATTTTCTGATATACATACATATAATTTATTTATTCATTTTCCGGTAACACCACCTTATATGAATTCGCGCTTCTAGCATCCATAGGACTGGGTTGTAATGGATGTAATTGTATGTTTAACAAATATGTAAATAAAAATGTTTATAATGCAATCAATAGATCCCTACGAATTCGCTATTACCAAGGCACTAAGGAACATACGCACTTTTGTTTGCAAAATGCATTTATTTAAGTTGAAAGAACACAAATTCCTTTGTTCGGCATTTATTCTTACCCGCTTTCTATCTTCCGAGGCGAATTTTTTATCACGAATTCATATATTCTTGTGGTAGCAAGAGATTAAAAACATAAAATTAACTTATAAATTAAAATCATAAGTATCACATGTATGCGTAGTCCAATTCACGAAATCATTTCATCGATCTGAGTAAAAACTAAGTGCATAAACTCTATTTCGCCTTAATTATAATTCATTCAGTTTCTACTCAAACGCATGAAATGATTTCATGAATTGGCCTGCGCATAATGGTAGTAAATGACAGAATGAATTACAACAAACACATACTTTTGACATAATGCAAGCCGAAAACGTTGGTTCCAATCAATCCGCAATCAAGTTGAACGTTTTGCCCACAAACATTGCAAATATCATTGTAAAATCTCATTTTTACAATTTCATAGTTTCGGCGTACATTTATAAAAATCAACAAAAGCACGTACCTATTTCAGCTGAGTTATCCATTTTCGGTTATTTAGTGTACAAAATAAACGCAAATTAAATGAGTTTGTACAACATGGCCATTAATGTAGCGATAAGTTGTACAACTTGCCAGAAAATCCACATTTTTTGATCTGTCATACAACCAAGCCATAAATTGATTCAACAGGCCCACAAACGGTGCAATCTAGAGCAAAACAACACCAAGTTGAACCAACGATCACTACGTTTATGAATTTCTTTAAGAAACATCGGGCGAAAATTTCAACTGCTCCTGTAACACTACCTTATATAAGTTGGCCTTGCATCATCCTCACATATGTATGTTCATCAGAGTATCCTTGTATTAAGAGAGCGAGAGCACAAAACTACTCTAGAAAATTGCACGCACAATAACAAACATGAACAAATGTACAACAAACACATAATTTTTGACAATCAGTACAGTTCGCATTTATTACTACGTTTATACGCACGCATTATTGGCAAATAACAATTTGCAAAATGGTAAACTTTGCCGTATAAACGCTGAGTTAATTTTTTATTTGCAAATAACTAAATCACGCAAATAAGTATTGATTAGTGGTACTATTTGCAAATAAGCGCAAGACGCTGCCATTCTTAGGTCAATTTTCCTTTTCGATGATCATCTTATTGCCTTTTTATAATCAAGGCATTGCCATTTTTAACTTTATTTTCCTTTTCGATGGTCATGTTATTGCCTTTATATAATCAGGCAATATTAAAACAAAATTTTTCACCATCGAATAAACAGTGAGTTAGGTATTTGGAAATTATTTTTATTTGCAAATAGCTTACGTATAAACGTAGTACATATCAACGAGCAGCTTATTAGATTTGTTTTCGTTTGTACTACATATGTGCATATATACATGTACACAAACATATGTACATACACAAACATATGTACATACGTACAAATATATATACAACCATTCAAACATATGCACATACGTGAAAACATTGCTGTCCATAAATACATACATATGCCCATCAGTACATCAACGAAGCCCGTTTGCTTCATCATAAATATATCCATACATACAAACATATGTACATACCCTGTGGGGAAAATCTCTAGTTCTGAACTGGTGCGCTTCTAGTACATTTAGACCCAGTACTGGTTCGCGATAAATCTCTTTTGCATGCAAGCAACTGGCGAATTTAACATGGCGATGTCCTAGGAAGTGTCAATCGCCCCCCGCTGCATCCCTTTTTCGATAGTTCCGAACTAGTCCTAAATTCTATAGTTCCGAACCAGTTCTAAAATCGACAGACGAAGGAAAAAAGTATAATGATTTTTCAATCTTTTTGGTTCTTCCGTGTGTGCGATTTTAAGTTATTTTGGAAGAAATGTGTTTTCAATTTGAAATTAAATTTGTTTGAATGATTGTGAGAAATGTACGTTTACATACCTTTAGCTGTAGCTGAGTTTGCAGAGGTGCTCGCTGTCATTTGTTAGATTCCAGACTGTCCCAGGATGTTAAAATGTTAACGCAAATTTTAGTTTAGAAGCGTATTTGAACGAAAAAGCCGCCGAATACATATCTATGTAAAGTAAACAAGCCCCCCGCTGCATCCCTTATTCGATAGTTCCGAACTGGTTCTAAATTCGACAAATAAGATCTAATTCGTTCTGCATCCCTTTTTCTATAGTTCCGAACTATTTCTAAATTCGTCACTTTAGATATAGATTTCTAGTGAAAAAAACTGAAAGAAATTAGTTTTTTAAAAGTACCACTTTTCGCCGATTTTGGGCTGGTAGGGATCTAGTTCCTATCGGACTAGTTCCTTTTTGGCGATAAAGACCTAGTGCGGAACTAGAAATTTGATTCACTAGTTTGTGGTTTCCCTACAGGGTATGTACGAATGGATGTAGTTACGCGAAGCACGCCTGCATCATTTATACATATATTGCTTGGTAGCGGCAGAGCTGAAATGCGCAATGAGTTCGTTCATACATACGTGCATTCATACATACGTGCATTCAAATATACATATATACATATGTACGTACTCGTACCCGTCATTCGTCGCTTTATTTCTTTTTTCCCCTTCCCTATACTACCTATATCATCCTTCTCACTCATGTAACGTTTTCAGTTTTAAAAATTGCACTCCATTTTTGCCATACCGCCGCCTAACTGCCATCCCTAAATTGGCGCGTCAAGCGCCAAACAACTGTCAAAAATCCTCATGCCCGTACAATTTGTATGAAGCATCCCACAATAACGCGGCGCTAACGCCGAGCAAAAGGAATTTTCAATTTTGACAGCGCGTTAAGACATGAAGTTGGGTGCTGAAAGCAGAAGTGAGAAAGAAAGAGGACAAAAGTAAGAAGGAGGAAAAGCAAAGACAAGGAGAATTTGACAATTTATTTAAAATATTTCATATTTTACGCGGTCAATCAAGAAGATGGATGTAAGAATTTTAATTAATATTTCCTTTTTACATTAATACTTGTAGCAATTTTAGAATTTGACAGAAAAACTAATTGAAATGGTTCAAGCGCACCCGTGCTTGTTTGACAAGAGGGATAACCAATATAATATATATACGTCCCATACTACGTCACAGGTTTCCAAAATTATACGCCTTGCTGTCTCCAGTCCAATCCTAAACTTCATCGAAATAATATGCAGCGAGCATCCGTGTGCTAAGTACCTATGGCAAATGAATGTCGTAAATGAATCCAGCAAAAATATTACAAAATACTTACTCCAAAGTAATAAACAGCCTATGTTCAGGCTCAATGGGTTGCCTTTTCGAATATTTGCGAAGCCATGGTTCAATCAAATTTAAAAGAGCATCAAACTGTGCACAAGTCATACGCGTTGTCTTGAAGAAAAGGTCTGGTTTTTTGTCTATTAAAATTTTCACACCTGATGTGTAAAACCCAGACGTTTTTCGCGTTTTAAAGATTTCTCGGTTCCCTTGCCTGGTATTCTGTGAAATCATTTCCAAAAATAGCAAATCCTCCAGTACGTCGATGGAGTCCATTTTTTAGGTTAGGTTTTCTGGTCCAGCAATGCTTGAACTTTGATGTGCTGCTCCTGCGGTGGAATTTACAGGATCTATTGATCTTAACAAAATTGCAATTGTTTTTAACTTTATATTAAAATGTGCACATATATTTATTGTAATATATGTATGTTACCAATTTCACAGCTTCACCTTTTCTGTGCACAGAACCGAATAAATTGAAACGCCAAGCAACGCACTTCGAGATAAAAAGAAAACGTCAAATGTTTGACGCGCTTATTTGGGTATAGCGCGCGCTGACACTCGTTGGCGCTAGAAAACCCAACGCTTGGCGCGCCAAATTAGGGACGACAGTAAGAAGTTTCACTTCAAAAAGTAGGTTTCAAACCCATTTATTGACCCAAAAGCCAATAATAAGCTGTGTCAAGTTAAAGTGAAATGCAATAAGTTAATAAACAGGAAACTGTTCTTCTTTTATTAATATTTGCAAATTACATTGTGTTCACAAAAATAGCTGTGTCAACAGTAATACTTTAAATTCAATAATAGTTCTTATTAATATTCGCAATTACATATTTACCCTTTTCCGGTCGAGCGTCTGGTACATATTTCAAAACATAACTCACGTTTTGCAATAGTAATCAAAATTTTGTTATAAAAACTGAACAAATGTAATTTTAGTTTTTAAGTCTTAATCAAGCCTCCAATAAAGCGGGCATAGCCCTAGCCTCAACGTATTTCGTTTTATTTAGTGTCCCTCCAACAGAGAGGACAGCAACTTACATATGTATGCATGTATATGTATATGTAGATATGGGAAAATTTTTAAAAAAGCTTGTCGGCGAATTCAGCGTACATGCATAATTGGTTAGGTATGTATGTATTTATATGTATGTATTCAGATATTTAAATGCCGGTTTGCAATTCGCGCGACAAGCTTTTTTAAAAACGAAGTAAATTAGTACAAATTGTTAGTAATTTGCATTAGAGTTTGAATAACTCCTTTCACTAAATGGCTTTTAGTAACTTTAACGAGACCTTAACTTATTTTATTTTATTCATTTTAGTGCAGTTTTGACAAAATTTTCTTGCTAAAAAATCTTTTGTTTCACTACTTTATTTTATTCCTTTGATTAAACATGTTAAATAAAAGCTTATTTTTAAAAAAATATATTTTTTACATTACTTTATTTTTATTTATATTTCTTTATTTTTTTTCTCTGTAAAGACAAAATACATGCATAAATACATACACACGTACATATATAAATATGCATGTTGTGTATGTACATATTTATGTATACAACTTTAAATAATTTTGTACTAAATAATCGATGCTTATGTTTACCTCGCTGCGATTGCGCGCGGGACCTGGAATGAAGGCAGGCAGAAGCACCCGTGGCAGGAGCGAAAAAAATTATTAACTAGCGACTCCGTGCAAGTTTCCGTTTTTTTTTTCGTTTAAATAATGTATTATAGAATAAGGATTGATATTCAATGTAAACGATTAAATAATCTGATCGAGAAGTAATAAATATTTCCATTTGTTTAAAAAATTTTTTTTTTTAATATAAAATTTTATACAAAATAATGATTATTTGAAAAATTTAGACAATCAGGCTAAAGCGTGTCTAATTAACTATTATCGTGGAAAAAATCAGGATACATGCTAAATATGAATTAGTGGATAATAAATAATTACTGAGTTCATCAAGAAAAAAGTTAATAACAATAACTCTTGTAAAAATTCGAATTTTGCAAAATTATTCAAATTATATTTTTTACGGTTGTAAACCGAATAAAGTGATTTGTTCGAAAAAATCTTGACCATCCAATTTTTGGTGGCCCACTTGAGAGATTTTCACTCTATACTAAAATTTGATGGGCTACAAAAATGAATATTCGAAATATTTATAAAAAGCTCTGATTAAAAAGTTTGAAATTTGAAGACGGTTTTAGAATTCTATCAAGTTTGCAGCGCAGTTAGAAATTTGAATTTAACCCTGGTCATGGTTCGTCGTTTCGACGACGCGAGTTTTTATTTTACCGTTATCGCTGTTTTCCTTTGTTTGTATAGTGCTAATTTTTCGTACAGCGCTAGACGGTTTTGTGCTGTTGATGTGTGCGGTTACTTAGATTCATGCGCTTCGTGTAAGTACTTATTTTTTAAATGTGCGTAGTCGAAACGACGAAGGATGAACTTTGTGTATGTTTTACGTTCATGTTTTCAAAGTAATTTTCTTAAGTTTTTTTTTATTTGTTTATATATTTTACTTGTGCAGTTATAACACACGATGAATGCAACCAAAAGTTATACCGACGAAGAAAAAAAAAAATTGCGCAATTTGGCCCCCTTCTAAGCGACGCTTAACAAATCATCCTGTGCAAAATGCCAAAAAAGTCTCTGTGGAGATCATAAAATGGAGCTTTGCGCCTCTTGCACAAAATGAGAACTGTCGTATCTGAAAATTTTTTCCTTTTTTAGTTCATAGTATTATTTTTAAGAAAAAAAACACTTTAAATGAATTATATAAGTTATTTATTTTTTATATTTTCTAATTAATGTTTTCTACAAAAATCCAAATGAATCAGAGCTGTGAAATCTTGAATTACAATCAAAACTCTAAAGAAAAACTACTTGATATTGTTTTATTTAAAAAAAAAATATAAACAAAATAATGTGAAAATAATAATTTTTGTGCATTTTTATACACAGGTTAATTTAATAACGCGTTTAGAAATGCCGTCGTCGAATCGACGAAGAATGACCTTTGCGTTATAAAAATAACGATGACCTTCCAGGGTTAAATGGTTTATAGCACGTTACGTGCGTTCCGATCAAGGATGAAACTGACAGTTGAGTCGACTGCGTGTGTTTGCTTACAGAGCGCCAGATTGGCAACCCTTGCGTCGACGGAACCAACAAACGTTGGCCAACACTCAACTTTTGACGCAAGTAGCTCCGTCACTGCTGACAGTTGTATTCCCTTGCGTTTATACATGACAAGAAAATTTAGAATATGTATTATTTGTCACATTCTTTGAACAAATAAGGGGGTCCAGACAATAAACTGTCTTCGAAAATTTAAAAACATTCACGAAGACAATGAGAGAAGTGTGAATATATAAGTAAAAAAGTGCTAATGTATTGCTATTGCATCTGCAAAATTAACTTGTGTAAACCCCAAGTACAAGTTCATAAAGAACAGCATATTTTTGTTTGCAAACGCAACACCTTCATTGTGGCGTCGCTCTACGTTCTTTTACGTCACAGCAGTTTCATCCGCGAGCGTCACGTACGCAAAGTACTCTATCTGGCAGGGCTATTAAAATGAAAAACATTGGAAATTAAAAAAATCTCTGCATAACTACACATTTCGGGTGCTCAGTGATGTATCTACGTATGTACAGTATCGGTTTATCAATAGCACCCCCATTTCAAAGTGAGATTGTTTACCACTTTTGTTTATATATATATTTTTTTAAATCTCATGAAAAGGTCGAAAATTTTGATGGAAAATCTTTAAATTTTCCTTTGTTTTGTATAAAGTTTGAAAACACGGTTTATATCATTTGTTTTAAGCATGATACATTTTTTTATAAAATAATAACAAACAAATTTTAACTCAATATATTGTGAATATTTAAAAAAATTATGTAAAAAAAATATTTTTTAAAAACATGCTTTTATTTAACATGTACAATCAAAGGAATAAACAAAGTCGTGTAACAAAAGATTTTTTAGCAAGAAAATTTTGTCAAAACTGCACTAAAATGAATAAAATAAAATAAGTTAGGGTCTCGTTAAAGTTACTAAAAGCCATTTAGTGAAAGGAGTTATTCAAACTCTAATGAAAATTACTAACAATTTGTACTAATTTACTTCGTTTTTAAAAAAGCTTGTCGCGCGAATTGCAAACCGGCATTTAAATATCTGCATACATACATATACATACATACCTAACCAATTATGCATGTACGCTGAATTCGCCGACAAGCTTTTTTAAAAACGAAGTAAATTAGTACAGATTGTTAGTAATTTTCATTAGAGTTTGAATAACTCCTTTCACTAAATGGCTTTTAGTAACTTTAACGGGACCTTAACTTATTTTATTTTATTCATTTTAGTGCAGTTTTGACAAAATTTTCTTGCTAAAAAAACTTTTGTTTCACTACTTTATTTTATTCCTTTGATTAAACATGTTAAATAAAAGCTTATTTTTTAAAAAATAATTTTTTTTACATTACTTTATTTTCTAATTTTTAGTCCATTTATAAAAGCGTTGTATATTAAATAGTTTTATTTTATTTTATGTACAAAATTTTGCAATAGATATTAAAATAATTCAACTTGCAATGAAAGAGAACAGAAGACTATGCAAGCAAAATGTTGTTTGCTTACGTTTTTTATAAACATACATATGTATACATACATACATATAGCAGCAGTTAATTTCATTTAAAGCAATGGCGTGTCGTCCACTTCCGCTGTAGCATGGCATATATTTAGGCGCAATATTAAAGTTTTTCTGGCGGGGAAACTTCTCGAGTATTCTAATTGTATCTCCTTGATATGATGCCTACAACGAGGTTCATATCTAGACTAGGTTGATATCTAGAATTTGCCATAAATAGCTTTGCTCTGGTTTTGCGTTCATTGGCAAATTACGCTCTGTTAGCCATAAATTTTACTAATTTTTGACCGACTTTGAATCAAGACCCCTGGACCATATAGGGAATTCATTTATATTTTAAATTGCATTGTCATCGTGATTGGAACTATGCTGAAAATTTCAAGTCTCTAACTTGTCGGAAAGTTAGTTTAAAATCGATTGGAAATTTCCACGATTTGCGCGGGATGACCACGTTAAATAAAACCTTATAATTATAAAAATACTATGTTCTCTTCGACGTACGTCAAAGGTCAAGTATAAATTGGAACTTGTATGGCTGCCCATTGATAGCTCAGTTATATAGCTTAAGAAATAATATGTTTAAAGACATTTTTATCAAAGTTGATAAATACGACATTTGACCAGTTTTGTTACAAAAATACTCCCACGACGAAGGCAAAAATATTGGCTACAATTTGTCATTTTGTTTGCCATATATACGTTTTATCGGTGCACTTGCACAACATTCGCATTCGCAAAAGCTCCGCATTGATTATTGCGATAC